GGGGGGGGGAGGAAGGACTGTAATTCAGTCATAAACCAGTGAGGGAGAGAGAGGCTGCGCAAACTATTGCAGAGGTTTGGTTAAGGTGGCGCTTTTAATAAATAATGCTCAAGGAAAGGAAATGGGTTTGCAAATCTGGCGCTGACGGGCACTCAGCGAATACCCTCCGACTCATCATCCTGTATCGGAGTTCGTCTGTCAACGTCACTCCTTCCCGACAGAGCGTCTGGAGATAATGTGAAGACCGGATGCTCATACGGAAGCTGTGGGCTACGACCTGGACGACCGCCGGAATGAGGCAGGACATCAACCATGTCGAAGCTGGACAGAAATGGCGGCCGTGGCCCCCGCACCTCCATGGAGAAGGTTCGACTGCGTTCCACCCATGAACCGCGGCTTGGGCGGTTAATAATCACGGAGCTGGTTCGCAGCCGGGGGTTCTGTTCGCGGGAGGCGGGACTGAACCACCGGTACAGGTAGTTGATTGGATGCGAGACGAGTTCGGCCATGCTGGAGGAGAGCCAGGCCAGGGAGCTGCTGGCCGTCCGAGTGAGCCGCCCGAAAGTGAAGCTATCATTTGACTGCAAAAGAAAGGCAGTAGGGTTTTTAGCGTAACGAAGTAGGGATTTCAAGGAAAGGCACCTCGTAGACCGCAAAGTCGCCAAACATCTCGCTGAAGGACTAATGAGGACATTAACACCTTCGAAGTACTCGAGGGAGACTTTGGATGGCTCAGTCATTCGATCAACTGTGCGTCTTACATGGACCACGTTGAGTCCAAAAGCAACGCAAAACACATGAATATATGCAGAATGGTATTATCGACAAAGATAGGGGAGACTGAAGCGGCCATTTCCGGCTTATTTGTCGTCGTCAGCCAGTCATACCCAGCCCCGAAGTGTGGAATACCTAGGGCTCGATCTCGCGACCTGCTATTTAGAAGTCCAACGCCTCTAACCACTGGGACACGGACCCCTTGCCCTGTCGGTTGCGATCGGGAATGTACAGTGTGTGAGCGATCTCATGAAATGTTGGCCGAAATTCTAAAGTGCGTTTTCGACTAGGAAGGATTAATAAAGTCGCATTGTAATATTATCATGTAGCATAATCCTATAGTATTTCAGGCTTGCCAGGATGTTGGCTTTTGAACGCACTTTTTTCCGACCTACCGCAGAAACCGCACTTGGTAAAACATGACTACTTAAGTAGCATGCATTTTTCACATCGATTTTCGGTGATCTTACAAATTCAAAAATATTTTATAGATAACATGCAAAAAATATGCTTTCTTTTATCCTTTTGGCTGAGAATCACATTGGCTTCACATTCTACATCCGAAAAAGTGTATATTTAGGTTTTGAAAAAGTTTCCCTATTCCCGAATAATTTTAAGCCTGATCAGCCGTTGCATTAGCATTTAGCGACTTCAGCCTACATGCTGCATATGTTCCTCGTGAGGAAAATCATATATTCCTTTATGCCTTCAAGAATTTTCTTTATAGAGTTCATTAAATTTTACAATGGATACGGACTGTGTTGGACACTTCACGAGGAACATTGGTAAACGGACACGTTCGATGCTCTATGTATGCACGTTGCACGGTCTTAAAAATCTCATAATTAAAAACTTTTTTAAAACCAAAAAATAATTTTTCTTACGGTATAAAACAGTAAGACAAGTTGGTTTTCTAGAAAATGGGTAAAATAAAGAATATTTTTTGCATGTTCTCGATAAAGTATTTTTGAATTTATAAGATCATCAAAGATCGGTGTGAAAAATGCATGCTACTTAAGTAATTATTTTTTACCAAGTACGCTTTCTGCGGTAGGCCAGGAAGAAGTGCATTCAGATTGAATGCAGATCAAAGCCTGTTGCATGCTAGTTGGGGAACCGGATCCCATGTGCTTCGCCAAAAAATAGACGTAGCTGCTGGTCAGTCCCAGCAATGCATAGCGACGGGCGCACAAAAATTAGACGATACCAAGTATATTGCCAATAGAAGCGAAGAGCCGAGTCCCAGGAAGTAGTCTTGAAGAAGGAGACGCGATCGCCGGGACAAGAGCTTTATTAGCCTGACGTTTCGGATTCCTACTCAAATCCATCATCAGAGACAAAAGAGCAGAAACGGGTGCTCTTTTGTCTCTGAGGATGGATTCGAGTAGGAATTCGAAACGTCAGGCTAATAAAGCTCTTGTCCCGGCGATCGTGTCTCCTTCTTCAAGATACCAAGTATACAGGACTGGCTACGAATGACTTCCAAGCGTCCTTATGCGCGAACGTCGAACAAGAGAGAGAGAGAGAGAGAGAACGAGGACAAAATCAGCAAACGGGCGTCTACCTGCGCATCTGCCCCGGTGAATTGAATGCTCCAGCTGCGACGACGTCGATAGTGACTGTGATCTCTCTCCAGGGCGTCTGCAATGTCGGCCATGCGTTGGGCAAAGATGGAGAGGCTCTCCTGGTTGAAGGAGTGTCTTCGCCTGGCGGCTAGCCGACGGAAGTGAGCCCTGCCCTCGGTCTCGCTGGCTCTCAGGAGAGCCAGTTCGGAGAGTGGGGTGGAGGCCGGACGAGGACCCCCCACCCGGGGACCCCGGAGGCCCGGAGATTCGTCCGGAACGTCATGGCGGCTTGTGGGCACTACATCGGGCATGCACTGGCCAACACCGGGCGACCCAGGAGTCAGCGTAGGTACGGGGTCTTCGGGCGCTGGTAGACAAACGAGATTAGAACATGCCTTCATAGGGGAATCGCGAGCGTACATGTCCGAATACTCTTTTTTCTCAGCTGGCCGAGTGTATAGCAACCGAATACCCGACTTCTGGTAGGCAAATGAGCTTCACACTGTAGGTGTGCTAAGCCCATGTGAAGAAGGCATTCAGGACGCGAGAACTACTATTTATATGGAAATACATGAGTGCCCGGCGAAAAGCACGCGGGGTGGAAGGTTACCTGGAAACTTTCTGCATACGGATCCAAATAGAGCAGTTATTCTACAATTCAGGGATCAATACAATGTGATCTGCAGGGCAAGCAAATTACTCAGGTTAAAGGAAAAACGCAACCCCAATCCTGGTCCACCGATGCGACTTCTGCGTACTTCACTAGTGGTCGTAGGAATAATGAGGGTGCTAGTAGTAGTAGTAGTAGTAGTAGTAGTAGAAGTAGTAGTAGTAGTAGTAGTAGTAAGATAGCTAATGTTCGTAATAATAGGACTGGTGAGGGAGGGCAGGGTGCGGTAGATGCTGTGCAAGTCACCCACAAATAACCGCCCATGCGGTCACCTTGTTGTGGGTAACACGATGAGCATAGCCGGAAACGACGGTCAAACTCTCAGAGCCATCGTGTTGTCGTCACGACTCTGGGGATTGCAGTACGCATACACCGGAAAGCAGCCATCGGCTGAACTGGAACTCTCAATAGACCTGAGGGTTTCTTGAGACCCAGAACTCGATTGACACTACGGCGAGAGCATCGCCGTCACGCTCTCCTCGTGACCAGGTGTTGGAAGTAATGCCATAGTGATCTTTTGAAACTACAGTCCAACCGATTTCTTGGCTTTTTGAACTTCTGTAGCTCATATTTCTGAGTTTATGGAGGAAGCGGTGTATGTTAGCCGTTGTCTTCCTAATGCAGGCTACGATGAACTGATGAAAACACGTCAAACAGACTTAGTAAACTTAACTGCCGCTTTTTCCCCCTTTTTATCGGCCACATTGATAAATGCAGAGACATGACGTTCTACAAACGGCCATTTCACGGCATTAAGAAATTTTACAATTAGAAGCTTTTTAAAACCGAATTATATCCTTTTTGATGGAGAAATTGGAAGAAGGCGTTATTTTCTTCTGAATGCAAGTGTAACGGCTGCCCGATTATTAGTTTTACAACCCTACTTAATTGATCTTTTTGAAACGAAGACGAATTTCAGAATTTCGTCTCTGCATTTACCAATGTGACTTGTAAGGGTAGCAATATGGCTTAAATCAACTGCCAAATTTTATGAACTCCATATGATTTCCTCTTAATACCGTAGACAAACGTATTGTTTTTCGTACGCGGAAACTATACGACTTGTAGTTTGGAAGCCCTGGATGCAAGTGTAACGGCAGGTCGGGTTCAAAATTACACATGGATTTGGAAAAGTTTCTAAAAACCGAACTATACCCTTCCTTCGAGTATAAAATTGTAAGAAGACGTAATTTTCTACCGAATGGAGAAACGAATGAATATTTTATTCATGCTTGTTTGAAGTACATTCGAATTTACAAAGACATCAAAAAATCAATTGGAAGAATTCATACAAATTAAGTAGTCACTTTGCAGAGGGTGGTTTGTGAGTGCAGCCGGAAAGAAGTTCTTCGAAAGACGAAATCCTGAGATAACTGAACTATTATAGAATTATGCTGCCCGATGATTAGTTTTACAACCCTACTTAATTGGTCTTTTTGAAACGAAGACGAATTTCAAAATTTCGGTTAACATTTCCTGAGTTAGCACACCCACTGTACCTGTGCCTTGCAGTGTCGTAAATGATGGACAGAATGTTGAGTGAAAAAACCCCATACACAGGGATCCAATGTAAGCAAAAAATGACAAGTTTCAGTTCTGTTGAAATGAGGGCTCGACACGAGGATCCCACTCACTTCAGGAGTGTGCGGACTTAGTTAGTAAACGGCGCCACCAATTAGCACAGATAAACAAAGCACGATTTTCAGTTTCCGTTGTCCAACCAATCAGTTCCCGGTGTTCGTAGGCCGATAAAAAAAGGAAAAAAAAGCAGCAGTTAAGTTTATTATGTCTGTTTGACATGTTTTCATTAGTTCATCGTAGCCTGCAGTAGGAAGATAACGGCTAGCATACACCGCTTACTCCATAAACTCAGAAATATGAGCTACAGAAGTTCAAGAAAGCCAAGAACTCGGTTGGCCTGTAGTTTCAAAAGGTCCCTGTGGCATTACTTCCAACACCTGGTCACGAGGAGAGCGTAATAGCGATGCTCTTGCGGGCTGTCGTAGTGTCGGTCGAGTTTCGGGTCTCGCCAAATCTTGTGTGCCTGCATGAGGCAGCAGTGAGGGCTCACCAGCATGTACCCTAGGTATTTTCTGGTAAATAAACTCCAGTTTCCATGCTGC